AGCCGAGGCTGAGCTCGTATTCTGACTAATGAGAGGATTTGCTGAATGTCAAGTAGCTGAGGCAGGACCAAAATGTAAAAGGAAGTGTCTTTATGCAGTGGGGAATATCACCGATTTTACAGACTGTTTATTCAACTAAACTTTTACACAAAAACTAACAATGAAGTCTGTTTTATTCTGCAAATTGATTCAAATTGCTCTTAACTTCCCGTTTACCTGTATTTAATTATGGATTTGAAAACACTTTAGTCTCTTCTGTCATTGAAGATCGTTAATGTGTTATCAGAATATGTACATTTTTTTTCTAGTTAAATCTGCAATAGAAATAAAACAAAATGTGGTTTATAGTAAAGATTTTTTGAGAAGCCATGCTAATCCGACTTCCACCTGAAAACTACAGTCTGTTTCTTCCATCCCAGTTCTGCTGAATTGGACCATGATAGTTAGTTCAATACTGTCACTTTAAGAAGCAATGCATTTTCACACCCGTAGCATTCAGTACAAATTATAATGGGAATATAATCAGATTTTAGATACAGTCAGTTCCATGTAAATGCAATTTACCATGTTATGGAAAAAAAAAAAAACTGCTCAGTGTAGCAGAAACATGACTCAGTCTGAAATTTGCCATACACCTCAGCAGAGCTCCACTTCAATCTGTTCTCAGTCAACACACCTCTCCCACATCCACAGTAAACAAGTCATAAGTATGCACAGCACCTGCAAGCTCTACTGAAACAAAAAAAAAAGTTGTTTATGCTTGAGCTGTAGAGCATCACATCTAATTATCTTATGACTTGCCATATTTGTTTTGGTTGACATCCCCACCTACTCTACTGCACTGCGTAGTGTGTGCAAAATGAGATCGTATCACAACGTGGAGAGAATGAGAAAGTGAATCAACATGAGTCGTGTTGGGGCGGATCAGCAAAAAACACCAGGTGTATACCAAGTACACTGTGACTAAGTGAATGTTACATTTCCTTGGCTTAAACATGAAACAAAAATTGGTGCATGTACTTTGACCACTTATCCATAAGCTCATTATTTCACTCTAGTCTTTGGCCTGTTCCTTTATAGCAGATTAGCAAATTTTACCAAAAGCCAGTCAAAAGGCAAGACAAGTTAAAATCTCCCATTTACTAAACTTGCATGACCCTTTCTTTATCATCTCATAAGAAGTTTGTTTCTTAGAGCATACCGAAAGTGGTCAATGTCTCACCTTGCAGCCATGCCCAGCAGTAACACTGCAGCTCGCCTTTGTAAGCCAGAAGTTTCTCGTTTGCCAGTAAACCTCTCCCACAAGACCTGTACTACAGTGGACTGGAGATTGCTGCTACTGCCGAAGAACTCCTGCACCTGAAGAAACATGTCAGGGTAGTTAAGTCACTATATCCTTTTTTACAAGGTAATTAAATTTCAAAATACACTCGACAAGTAGTAAAGAAAAAAAACAAGCACTATACATGTTATGGCTGGTACAAACATGTCCTTCAATATTCTGAATAAATGTGTTTCTATAATTGTTATTACTCTCAAATGGATAATTTCTGTGTACGATGATCAGTTACTCACTATTTCCTCGAGACATTGGATTGTTCCCAGAGATGCATCCACCATCAGCTCAGACAGACTGTCCACAAGAGTCTGGGCTTTCATCCTAATGAAAGATGAGACAGCTACTTTAAAAATACTAAACAAATCTGTCAAAAGTGTTTTTAGATGTTTCTGTTGATTTGGGTTTTTTTCTTTTATATTTATTTGATTTTCTATTTTTTAGTAAACCTACTTTAACGTCATGTCAGTAGTGTCTTTGTTTTTATCCATCATTTGCTATTGTGTTTAAAAAACAACAAAAAAAATAAATTATTAATAACCATACAAATGGGTTTTTAGACTTGCTTACATCACATGATGGCATTTACCAGTAATTTTTACAGTCTATGTATAATGCAACATACAAGATAATAAAGTCATTTCATTATGTTGTAGCATGTTCTGTCATTGCTATCTTTTAGTTACCATCGTTAACAAACAACCAGCCACATTTTAGTCAGTGGAGGCACTGACTAAAACAGAATCCCATCATTCAAAATTATATTAAAAGATAAATATAGAATTACACTGAAATCACAATAAATTGTCAGTCCAGTGGGGGATGAACAGGATGTGTACTTGTTTTATAAGTAAGGGCCCTTCATATTGTTGAATATGTGTGAAGCAGTTTTACAGACCTGATGGTGTCTCCTTGAGGGTTCAAATACAGGCGCCTGTAGGCCTGGACCACAGCATCTTTAATGGCAGCGTCAGTTGACCAGACAAGAGGCAACATCTTCCTCACCCCACTGACAGAGTTGGCAACGCTGAACTCGCATACTGTCACACAAAACTGCACTGCCTCCTGGACCACTAGAACCAAATATTTTCACATTTTACACCTGAAATATTAATACAGTCTAAATAGGTTTGTACTCTGATGAACACTGCCTTTTACCTGAAGTGGTTTTCCAATAAAGCATGGAGTTAATGACAGAGATTGCTCTTTCCACTTGTAAGGCAAAAGTTTCTGTGTCTCTCAGGTACTGCACCAACATCTCCTGCTTCTTCAGCTCTCCATCCTCCCCTTCCTTCTCTCCCTCTTTCTGTGGGGTTGGTGGCAAGTTCTGGCTGAGCTCTGAAGTGTCCTCATCAGAACCTGAGGAGAGAATAAATTCATAAATAAAATCAATCAATTAGGGACGATAAAATATAAAGTAAATTCGGATTAAAAAGCAATCTTACAAGAATCTAACCAACAAACCACTTTCCATTGCTGCTTGATTACTCAACACTTCCTGCAGCTGCTGTATAGTAATCAAGTTAAATTTATTCCCTTTGCTGTAAGGCTTTTAGAGTGTGTAAGGGAGTGTTGAAACAGCATGCTAAGGAATAAGTCATCAAATTGTAATTACCTTTATGCATTAGTCCAATTTCTGCAGTCTGCCAGCACTAGAGGGCCATTGTATATTAAATGTATAGGAAAGTACATGCTTTTTAAGAGTTCACACCCAGAAGGTGTACTGTAAACTGCTGTGAGCTTGAATGAGCGAGACACATGAAATGTTTCCAAAGAAACATGAGCCCAATCAGCTAGAGGGTGGCATTGTAATAAGGGCCAGAAACCCGATTAAAAAAAAGAAAGCAGCGCCCCTCGCACCATAAGACTGACTGATTAAAATTGGATGTACAAGTCGAGATCAATGTGCTCTACAGAAAATTATCTTGGACCATAAAAACTCAGTTAATTTATGTTTGATAGTAAACATAAACTGAAAAGTAAATTGATATCTACTTCTTTGATGTGCACTCCAACCATAGTAGTGACCATCAATCAAAATATCTTCCCTGTGAGGGGCGGGGCTTAGCAGTACAGTAAATTGTCAATAAACTCATTAGGCCATTGTCCAACTAGCACATTGCCACATTTGGCTATATTTTGTTACATTTGTTCTTGAGCTACTTTGTCCCCATGATGCAATTGTACCAACTCAATATTCGTATCTCTCATAACTCAGCAACATAGTGTTGGCAGAAGTTGTGTCCTCACACTGTGTCAGTCATCTAGTTTTATGAAATATATTACAAATGAGAAGTGTCAAGTTCTGTGCTCTAAAATACATCCTATACTCACTCTTATACGCGAATATTAGAGACAAGTTGGTTTTTAAAAATGTAAACTGAAAGATAATGTGACATGAATTCCCTTCAATCAAGGAGGAACTTTGTGTTCAATTTATTATCCATTAAGACTCACATTAGAGCACTTTTGACGAGTATTATCCAGATAGAACTGCATCAGGTGAACTGAGTGCAGACGTTACCTTTGAAAATCAGAGCCAGTGTGTACATTAGAGTCTCAGGGCTGAGAGTGGACAGAGAAGCAAACATCTCAGATTCAGGAAAGCAGGCGTGGGCTCTTATACAAAGACGCACCGCATTCCTGTAGAGGGGGGCAGAGAGAAATTCCACATTTCAAATTGTTGGCTAATTGACAGCGCAGGAGGAAAAAACCTTCAGGTACTGACACTTCAGTCAACTTTTTCCCAGGCCAACACTGGTGATTAGCATCACCTGTATTTGTTGACACGGAGATACTGAGCAATCTTCACTGCGGTTGCTCTGTCGTCTTCTTCCTCCTTCTCGTCCTCCACATCCCTGTTGTCCTCCTCCTGCTCCTTCTCTGTTTCACTTGTGGGCTTCAGCTCTGTCCCGACAGTGATGAGCAGCTCAGGCTCCATGGCAGCCCACAGCTCAGAGGCTTTAATGACTGCCACTGCCAGGAGGGAGAGGGAGAGGGAAAGGAGAAAAGAAAATCTAATTCAATGAGAACTACTGAGGTTAGAGCTTCAAATACATTTTCAGTGGAACAACTGACAGAAAGATGTAAAAAAAAAAAAAAAAAAAAAAAAAAAAAGAGAAAACAATAAGCAGTGGGACATAATGTTAAGACAACTGTTCGTAGGGTTAAAACCTAGATTGTAATGTTGGGCCCTACAGTGCCACCATTATGTTAGATGTGTGATTTCTGGCAGTGGTTGGAATGTCAGAAGCTTCATTCACTAATTTTGAGTCTTCCTACCTGCCTTGAAAAGTGTATTTTAAAAAATGGTGGATCAATTTGTGGAGAAACAAAAACATAGCACTAATGCAGAAATGTCATAATTAATGCTGCATTCAAGTGCTGTTGGAAATAAAACAAATTAGTATTGAAATGAGTCATCAAATTGTTCTCCCTGGATTTTTGCATGCACCTAAATGAGGACTTTTGATACCTTGTTACTTTTGGCTAAAAGTAATTAAAATATATATAAATAAAATAAAAAAGGAACTCTAAGCACTTAATAAAAATCCAAAATTGGACAATTAAGTGTTCATATGACTGAAAGTTACATGACTGAATTTTGAGACAACTTGTTAGGGGACAGACCTGGTCTGCTGAGTTCAAATGAGTTTCTGAACTTGGCCCTCAGATTACCAAAGAGGCAACTCATGGCTGACTGAACAGCAAAGAGAGCTGGGTGAACTCCTTGCCTCTTACACTCACTCACTTACACACTTACACACACACACACACACACACACTGTCAGCTTCATCCCCGTGACTACTCCACTGTAACTTTAAGGGAATAATTTGGGGTAGAGCCAAATCACTGTAGGCAGGCCCTTACAGCAGAGCAGGAATCCTCCCCTGCACTACCAAGATTACCTGCCAGTCAAGGCAAGAAGAACCCAACTCTCATTCAGTGAGCTCGTATTCGCCTTGGTCTCATCATTGGGCAAAATGTGACTGAGCATGAAAAAGTAAATAAATAAAATGTAAATTTTTTTTAAGGTATGAAGTTCATCCTCACCTGGTGCGTTCTCCTCCAGTTTCTCTTTCATCTCCCGGAGTTTAGTGGTCTCTTTCTCCAGCGGTTTCTTCAGATCAGCACTGCTCAACTGAAAGTATTAAGAAAATATTCTAGTGAGCTTGTGAAATAAAATCAGTGGGGAAAAGGGGGGGTGGGGTCCAAATCATGATGGTTTAGGTTACCTTGCAGCTGTAGGGGTTGTGTGCGATGAAGGCGGCTAACAGCTGGATGGCACTCTTCACCACATTTATGGATTTGTCCATCAGTCGTCCAACTGTGAGCTCCATTACCTCACTGTACCTACACAGAGGCAGTGCCTAAAACACATAACAGTTTTAATTACCAAGGGTGACTTTAATCAAATTAATATGAACATACAAAATAAGCAATTGAAAACATACTTTGCTGTTGACAATGCGCGTGTAGACCTGCAACACACGTGCCCTGACATGGGAATGTGTGTCATGCAGATGCTCTTGCAGTGTGTCAAAGAAGCGATCACGGTCCGCTTTACCAGACTCATCTAGCCCGTCACCACACAGGACCCGCACGAGCATCTCTCCCAGCACCTCACACACAGCAACCCGCATTGTGTTACTCTGGGGGAAAAAAAGCGTGGAATAAGTCTTCATCTAATCTTGCTTTTGTGTCAGTAAAATAATATTTTTGTATATTTTGTTGTTTTTGTCTTTAATGAAATGTTGTGTATTGTGGCATTTCATGGCAAATCTTGCAAAAATTGTACCTCTGCATTAGAACTACCTCAGTACAGAGGCATTATTGTGTCTCCAGATGAGTTTCTGAACTGTGCCCTCAGATTACCAAAGAAGCAACTCATTGCATACTGAACAGCAAAGAGAGCTGGGTGAACTCCTTGCCTCTTGCACTCATATACACACACACACACACACACACACACACACACACACACACACACACACACACACACACACACACACACACACAGACACACTGTCAGCTTTATCCCAGGAATTACTCCACTATGACTGTAGAAGAATAATTTGGGTCGAGCCAAGTCACTGTAGGCAGGCCCTTACAGCAGAACAGGAATCCTCCCCTGCACTGCCAAGATTACCTGCCAGTCAAGGCAAGAAGAACCCAACTCTCATTCAGTGAGCTCGTATTCGCCTTGGTCTCATCATTGGGCAAAATGTGTACTGAACAGGAAGAAAATTAAACTTTTCTTCCAGTTTCTTGAGTTGTTTGTAACACATTTGGATAAAGACACCCCTCTAGTCCTACATTAGGAGTAATGCATTGTGCCACTATCATAGTAAAGCTTGCAGGAATAAGTGACATTACCACCTGAGAACCTTTTGACAAAATAGCAGAAATTCATACTGCCACTTTTATCTTGGCTTTAAGTAGCTTTTCGAGAGTCACTTTATAGTTAATACTAAGTCACACTTGGAAACCAACTTTTATTCGATGCTGTGAAAGTCCCTGCCTTGTGTGAAAATATTGTGACTAGTGGTCTGTTACCCTGTGTACAATAAAAAGAAAGAACTCTGCTTTCCCTGCTCCTCTTTTGTGTCATCTTTTTAATATGTATTGACATTACTGCACAAGCCAATCACAACCCAGGGTAATGACAGCGCCTTAACAGCAGTAAAGGAAATTTATGAACCTAAAAGCTCAGTCCTCCCCCAGATTGGCAAAACAGCTACACAGAAAGTCTTGAGGGGCACAAAGAGCAGTGATTTGTGGGGAATGGAAATCTCCCAACTGAACAGCAGGGGTGTACTTTCATAGGGACTTATTGCTCTGCATGAGGAGGAGGCCACCATTGAGTCATTACACTAGTTATTCAGGAGCTGTAAATAGGATGAACATGTTTATGTGTGCAGTACCTCTCCTTCCAGGTGTGCGATGAGTACACTAATGTTGGGGATCATTAATTCAGGCACCAGGGAGCCCAGCTCTGAAATGAAGGAAGCAAAAGCTTTGACGCCTGACCCCTCTCTAGCAAGCTCCTCACTTGACTTCTGACCAATCTCCCTGAAGGAATAGAAAAAACACAAAACATGAACTTCTATACAAACATGGTCATTTGCAATCAAAATATCAGGTTTTCATATGCAGCGCTGTAAAGCAGACTACTTGTTGGAAACTTAATAGGCAAACAAATTATGCATACTGACCGTATTACTTCTCCTATGATAGCCCTGACTCCATATTCGGTGCTCCACACAGCCACTGCCTGAGCAAAGACGGATGACAACTGCTCGAAGTGTTGCAGCAACTGGATCACCTTCACACTTGCACCTATAAGAATTTAGAGTATATACTTAAAAAAATCTAAATGTTATTGCGACCCTAAATCATCTATCTTGTTGCTGCAGGTAACATTCTCAAAAAAGAAATTCAGATTCAAAATACGTACTGCACAATTATTTCCTGGGTGTGAGCCTATACGAATATATATAAACAACTAGTATTGTTTTACCTAATATTATAATCAAATATATTATAATTAAAGTCAATTTAATTATATTTTGTTCTATGTTATGTAGCGTGAAATGACTGCAAACTTTAATTTTGTGACAAAACTAAATTTTCATGATCCTTTATATATGATGCTCTTGAAACAGACAGGTTTGATATGCTCCCTACGTTATAAATCTTACGACGTTATAAAACAGGTTCAGCATGTGACTGAGAGACTAACCTAGGAGGTGATTGTACTTCTTAATCAGCACCCCGAGTAAGTGGATTATACAATCTCTGGTGGGTTTGCTCTTGACATGGCTGATGGTTGGGTTCTCAAGTAGTTTGTAGCAACAACAGGTCACGCAGCTAAGAGAGAAAAGAGAAAAAAGAATTAAAAGTTTGTTTGTTTGTGTTGTCTGCTGTACATCACTGCATATTGAACACTGTGGAAAATATTCACAATGAAAACTTTAAAGGAAGCAATGTAACACAGTTCCAAGATTATCTAATCTCATTACGTCGCATTATATGATGTTGATCATTGCCTTTTCATTAATAAGTGCCAATTAAGACTACAATGTTATCAATGCTGGGCGGGGATCCGGTAGGGCTGCTCGATTATGGAAAATAATCATAGTCACGATTATTTGGGTCAAAATTGAAATTACAATTATTCAAACGATTATTTTTTTAAACTTCAGAAACATGCTGCATTTATTGGACATTTGTCAAAAACACTTTGCAAGGAAGTCCTCAGTTACACTTTCCTTTCCCCATAAACATTTGTAAGTCTCCTTTTTACATTGACAGTCATGGTGCACTCTTGCAATCTCTACAAAAAGTTAAATTAAATAAAATAACACCATAGAAAAACAATTTGTGTTCTCAAATTTTAGTGCACTGCCAAAACATTTGAAATTACCCAGTATTTCCTCTATGTTGATTTTGGAGCGGCGGCCCGCCGCTGTCAAATCTCTGCCGCCACGGTATCAGAAATGGGGCAGACGGACAATGTAGTCACGGTTGCCTTTTAAATGATCCTGCCGACATAATGCACCCCCGTTGACTGCCGCTCACATTGCAATTTAACAACAAGTAGAACTATTCAGAGGTTATTGGGGCTGTCCGGTTTAACTCCACATACTGTTGCGTTGATGTAGTTTGTCAAAATGTTCGCTTTCTTCCAAGTCGACTATTAAACTAACAGCTCCACCAAAAACGTCACCACAGTGGGTCCGTTTTAATTGGACAACGTTCAACTTGTCAGTTCTCAGCTCACGGTCCTGATATCAAACATCTGGAAACATTAAAACGGTAAATATATTTGTTTGTGTCGCAGCGAAGGGTCACTTCTGTTTCATACGTAAAACCAGAGAATGTCTAATAAGGGGAGAAGTTCCACTCTCGGTATACTTCCGGGTTCTGAACTGTTGCAGTTCCCCTCTGGTTCCATGTGAGGGCGCTCACAGGATGAGTGCAGAATGAATGGAGCACTATGGAGCTATACCCTCAAAATCCACTTTTCTCAGGATATAATTTTTTGTCTAGTAATTTGAATGTTGCATTCGAAAGGGCACGCAAAGAAACTACACATTGCTAGGTGTTAGATTTTTTTAGAGTCACTTATTTGCTTTAAAAAGTCTTTTAAAATGTCAATGACGTCATACACATCGTACAGCCAGAGATGCTGCTTTACGGCAAGCCTCGAGTCACTTTGTGCTTCCGTGCTCGGCACTTCCTTTTCTGTCGAGGCATCGACAACACAGACATAACGATAGGCAGATAAAAGTACCAGCAACAAAGTTGCTGTGTTAAAAAAAAAGAACTTGGGCGAAAAAATCCGCCTTAACATTGTGGTCCCGCTTCGGATGCCACGATGCCATCAAGCGGGATCTCTGGTCGTAATCAGTCCTTCACTGACTAATCAGCGTTCATTAGCAGAATGCTAGCGTGTTATGGGCAACAACAACTCGTCCTGTAAGAAATCGAAAGGACATAAGTACTCGTTCATTCAACTTTCGACCTATAACCCATGTTGAACTTGCAAAAACTACAATCAAATCTGAGATTTCTCAACGAGAATCAGGTGAAAGACAAATTTAGCCGTCTAGCTCCATCTGCTCCCATTCATTCTGCACTCATGGTGAGCGCCCCCAGTGGAACTCTGGTGGAACTGCAACCAAAATTCGGTACAATGGGATTTAATAGAGAGTTCAAAAAAAAAATCCTCAAGGAAACACTGATTACCTGTTACTGTTACGCGTTACTCGTTCCAACGAAAACAACGTGACTGACTCATGTGCAGTGCATGCTGTGGGGCAGGGACGGAAATGCGCATGCGCGAAATACGCAGCCTGAATTGGGACACAGCTTTTTTCTATACAACGTTGCACAACAGAAAATGAAAAGAAAATAGTTTCCCCCCGATTTTATTAGTTTTGAGATCGTTTGGCCCCAAAATCGTAATCATGATCAA